GTTTGATCTCCAGGGTATTAAAGGCAAGTCTGATCTCCAAAGTATTAGAGGCAGGTTTGATCTCCAAAGTATTAGAGGCAGATTTGATCTCCAGAGTACTAAAGGCAGGTTTGATTTCCAAAGTATTAGAGGCAGGTTTGATCTCCAGGGTATTAAAGGCAAGTCTGATCTCCAAAGTATTAGAGGCAGGTTTGATCTCCAAAGTATTAGAGGCAGATTTGATCTCCAGAGTACTAAAGGCAGGTTTGATTTCCAAAGTATTAGAGGCAGGTTTGATCTCCAGGGTATTAAAGGCAGGTCTGATCTGCAGAGTATTAGAGGGAGGTTTGATCTCCAGAGTATTGCAACCAGGGCTGGTCTCCAGGGTATTAGAGGCAGGGCTAATTTCCATTGTATTGAGGTAGGTCTGATCTCCAGGATATTAGAGGTAGGTTTGATCTCCAGAATATTAGAGGCAGGTCTGATCTCCAGGGTATTAGAGATACTTTCAAGCTACATCAGCTTCACCCAAGGAATCAGGACAAGACTCTCAGCTGACCACAGCTGTGTCATAGCTGCTCTCCTTCAGTGCCAGCAATAGTCCTCCCCTAACCCTGTGGTTGGTCTGGAGACCCCCAGGATCCCATTCCCAGGGATTCTAAGGGTCAATGAAGCTGCAGGGATGGCATCTCCCAGGGCAGAGGGCTGTAACCCAGTATCTAGGGCAACTCTGAGTGCAGATGACGACTTGTCCTGCCCTCGTTGTCCCCTTGCAGCGCTGATGGAGATCCTGCCACACCGCTGTGTGCCCATTGCCAAGAGGGAGATCCTGTACATGGGCACCTTCGGCCTGGCGTGCTGGCTGGTGGGGACCATCTTCATCGACCGCAAGGACAGGGAGGGCTCCATCAACACCCTGACAGAGGTGGCACGATCCCTGCACAAGGACAATGTGAGTGGGGAGGAGTCTGGGGAGGAGCCTCTGGAAAACACGAGCCTTGGCGTGGGTGGAAAGGGATCGCTGTCTCCAGGCTGGGCGCTGAGCAGAGCAGAGTGAGAGCATCCCTGGTGGGTTCAGTGCCTTGTGTGTCCGTGGAGGGGAGGTCAGGAGCACACAGAGCAGTCCCAGGGGATCGTGGTGGCTCAGAGCAGCACCTGGAGGTGCCCCCATCTCAACGTCCTCTCCCTCCTCCTGCAGTTGCGCGTCTTGATCTTCCCCGAGGGAACTCGCAACCACGGAGGCTCCATGCTGCCCTTCAAACGTGGGGCCTTCCAGCTGGCTGTGAAAGCCCAGGTGAGACCACCTGCCTCCTGCCCCTTGGGGTGGGCTTTGCCTTGCCATGGTCCACCAGCAAAGCAGGCTCCTGGACCCCGGTTTCCCCGTGGATCCAACACACACCCAGGAGCCCACGAGGAGTTTGTGGGTGGCACAGGATGGGGCTGTTTCTGGGAAAAGTGGAAAACCTTCCTGACAGGTTGGGGAAAAAAAAGTGGGGAGGGGCTTGACAAGAGCCCTGGACCTGCCCAGGCACATCCTAATTTGCCAATCCACAATGGTTGGCTTAAATACAGAGAAGAAAGTGTGAAAGCCAATGGTGAGGACGTGGGGTGATACAATTAAATGAGCTAAATATCCCAATAACCCTCTGAGTATCTGCTGTGAAGCTGATGGTGATGATTATCAGCAAGGTGCAGAACTGACCTGAAAACAGCAGCTGCATTTTGGAGGAGGGATGGGGAAATGCGAAAATTCACTGTAAATGTGAATATTCACTGTAAATGTGTATCTTCACTATAGATTGTCTCCCTTCCAGGTTCCCATCATTCCTGTAGTGTTCTCATCCTACAACAGCTTCTACAACCAGAAGGAGAAGAGATTCACCCCAGGTGAGGATGACCTGGGGCAAAGAAGGGGCTGGGTGTTGGCAGAGCACAGTCCTTGGAGACATGGGGTGGGTGGGCAGATGTGTGATGTGGAGACAGCAGCCAAACAACAGCACTTTGTGTCTTCTTGGTGGGAAAAGGGAGATTTCAGGCATCATTTTTCCTCTCCCCTTGGATTTCTTGGAAAATGTGAGGGAAGTTGGAGAAGCAGCAGAGTCCTGGGGCAGGTCCTGCCCCTGGCCCCACCACTCTGCCCTCAGGTTCTTGGGGAGTTGGGAAACAAAAACAAACACGGAGCTCTCAGCAGAAGTCACCCTGAGAATGTGTCCCCCCAGTTACCATGTTTCATCCATTTATGGCAACAAGAATTTCTGCTGCTCACTGACAGAATTTTATGGGGGAAAAGAATGACACAAGTCTTGGGTTTCAGAAGGAAAATGCAGAAAAAAATGTTAAAAATTCCAAGAGAGGAAAGCATTCCATCCTGTTCCTCCGCTCCCTTTGCTGCTGCCCGCCCCAAACTGGGCTTCTGCCACTTCCCATCCTTCCCCAGGCCAGCCCTGCTGCTTCCTAAGGGGAGGATTTGCATCTGGAATCCTCATCCCTCCCATTGTTGTGCCTGGGTGTAGTCATTCCCTCACAGGCAGACAGCTGGAAGGGAGAATGTTAAACACTGCACTGGCTGGTTCCACTCCCCTTTCACCTGCTGGGCCCGTCCTCTCTCTGTTCCTCAGGAACAAAAACCTTTTGGGACTGGAAATGCTCCCCCACCTGGGGGTTGATAGGACCAAGAGCAGGGATTCCTCCCCACCACATCCCTGCTCAGAGCCCTGCTCTGGGAAGTCAGACAATAACACGGTGGGGAGGGGTCTCTGAAGCAGCTGAACCTTTTGCTTAAAGCAAGGCCAACTTAAAGACAGCTGAGTTTGCTTTGTGCCTTGTCCAGACAAGTCTGGATTAACTCCAAGGATGGAGATTCCACAAATTCCCCGAGGTTTTTTAGGAAAGGCTTTTTGCTGTTGCATGAACATTTGCCTTTGTAACAACTTCCCTCACCCTGGGAGTTCATAGTTAGCTGACCTCTGATCCCATGGATAACTGACCTCTAATCCCATGGTTATTGGACCTCTAATCCCATGTTTTACTGACCTCTGAGTCCTTTCCCAAGTGGCTGTTGAACAGGTAGGACCTTCACTGCTGGAGACAGAACCCCAGTCAGTTTTTCTTGCACATTCCCAGTTTTCCCTCCCACAAGTTTTGCCAGGGCTGATCCTGAAGATGTGCTACACGTGGTCAGGATTCCTGCACATGGAGCAGGCTGGTCCTCAGGCCAGGACAGCTCACTGTGTCCACAGAGGCTCTGGGTGTGCTGATGAGCCTCTGGAAGGCCACACTCCGTGCCTGGTGTTGACACTGCCATGCATGGAGCACGTCTGGTGTTTGCTGGAAGTCTCTTCTGCCCCAACAGACCTGAATTTTCAGCACAGCCCCGTCATCACTCAGCTCTTTCCATAGGGCCAAGTGAAGTGAGGAGCCAGCCTGGCTTTGGGTGTGAGATGTGCAGGCAGGGAGCACACAATCACAGAATCACAGAAGTGTTTGGGTTGGAAGGGACTTTAAGATGATCTTGTTCCACCCCCTGCCATGGGCAGGGACACCTTCCACTAGCCCAGGTTGCTCCAAGCCCTGTCCAACCTGACATACTGTTTTCTGTTGTGAAACTCTCTATGCTTGTTTTTGCCTCCTTCACATGGCTCTGCTTCCAGCACTGCTGGATCTCGTTCCAATGCACGTGTAAAGACATGCAAGAACATTAGAAAACACCACAGACACTCCCCAGATCCCCAGGTGGGTGTCTGGTGTCTGTGCAGGCACTATCTTGTCTCTGCTGGCCAGAACAAGGGCCTCTGGTGCCAGAGCAGAAGCACACGATGACACCTCCTCAGTATATTCTTCCAGTTTGCACCAGTCCATCGCTTGGCTGCTTCCCCAGAGGAGTCTGACACACCAGGGAGTCCTGGGTGCAATTTCCCTCATCCCAAAGCCTGTTTCTGGAAGGAGGGACTGTGCTGGATTTGTTATGCACAGATCAGAGCGTGGCCAGCTTGGATGTGCTCACATCTTCTCCCTGCCACCATCTAGACATGCCCTGAGGTCTTTCCACTGTGCAAACCTGTTCTACGTGAAACACGGCATTGGATTTGAGCAGAGATTCACCTATTTCCATATTTGTGATTCTTGTGGGTGGGAAAAGCCTGGTGTGGGTTTTTGCTGTGTGCTCCTGGGCCACGGCTGGGTGCCCACACCACTCTTGGTGTGTCAATGAGGGCACTTCCCTTCTTTTCTCTCCTGTTCCTTGACTGGCACCAATCCTCCTGCTGCATCTTCTCTTGCTCTCTCTACACCACTCACACGTTCTCTTTCCCCTCTCTCTCACCCTCCTGCCTCACTCTTCCAGGAAAACTCATCATCCAGGTCCTGCCAGAAGTGGAGACCCTCGGCCTGGGCCCGGACGATGTCCCCAAGCTCACCGAGCAGGTCCGTGACTCCATGCTCACCACCTACCAGGGGATATCAGGAATGACAAACGGAGCTTCCCATCAGTGATCCCCTCTCCCAGCTCCAGCTGTGTGTGCCACAGCCGAGGGGAAGGCCATGGCAACCTCAGGAAGGCCTGGCAGCAGAGACAGCCGTGGATTGCAACCCTGACATACCAGAGACGGGCTAAACGTCCACCAAGGAGGAGAAGCTTCCAAGTGGAGGTGGTGGTGAGAGGGTTTTGTCATGTTCCTTCCAGGGAACTGTGCCACCTGCATGGACAGACACACCACGGGCAGCTGGACATTCCTGTCCTCATAACCATGGGAACATGTCTCCAGCTGGACCCCAGGCAGAGCTGGACCCTTCCTGGGATCATCACTGCCTGCTTATCATCACCTTTTCCTATTCAGAGCCAACAAGGTGGAGACATCTATCCCAATCCTGTGGCCATCCTGCCTGAGGAAGTGGCTACCTTGGGGTTGGAGGGTTGCCCCACTCCCCTGGAAGTACACTCAGGAGAAGGCACTGTCTCCCACCTTTTCCGTGGGGAGGATTTGGGAGGAAGCCAAGGCAGCTTTGGGAGAGAGGAATTAAAGCCCTTACATGTCTGCAGGGCCTGATGGTCTCTTTGGGTTTTTTAGCCTTCCTTTTAAGCAAAGTAAGATTTTGCCTTCAGTGGTTGGCCAGATCTTGAAAGTGTGAGAGGAACATGCCTGGGGACCCAGAAAGTAGAGGCAAACAGCAGGGGTATGTTGCCTAATATCCTTCCCATGCCCTGATGGAATCGCCATCCCTGGAAGTGTTCAAAAAACATGTAGATGTTGTGCTTTTGGACATGGTTTAGTGGTGGACCTGGCAGTGCTGGACTAATGGACTTGATCTCAGAGGGCTTTCTCAACCTGTGATAATCTGATTTTTAGCACAACCTGTGTATTTTTCAACTCAAACACACTCTGGGAGCTGCAGCTCCTATTTCTGAATCCTGCCTGGTTCTGCCCCGGCTTCACAGTGTGATGTCTTGCCTTCCTCTGCCAAGGCCACCGCAGCCTGGGGACTCGTGGAGCTGCACAGTCCCCAAATCCCATCATTTCCCCTGGGGCCCTGGCAGCTCCAGTTGTCTCCTGTGGGTGCCCCAGGCCATGGGTGGGCAGTGGGGCACTGGGTTGAGATGGACATGACTTGGCAGCACATCCTATGGCAAAGCTCATATGCTGCTGCTGCAGCCCTGGGGTTCTACCAAGCATCTCATTCATTATTCTTCACCACAGAGGCTCCTGCTACACTCACAAGCTTCACTCATAACTCTGCCTTATGCTGCTGCCTTCTTGCTCCCAGTCCCCTCCTTCCCTCCCAGTCATGCCAAGGAGAAATGGAAACTTAATATGATTTTTACATCTTTGGTATTTATTGGCTTGCAGTGTCCTGGAGTGACCATCCTGGCCAGGTGATGAATTTTTAGCCCTAATTCTTGTGGTTTACACACCAGTCAGCTTATGGTTTGCTGCTTTATGCTGAAATGTTGAGCTATGAACCACAGCCAAAGAATGTTTTGCACTCAAGTTGGACAAACACAGAATCACAGGTTTATTAAGGCTGGAAAAGATCTCCAGGATCATCGAGTCCACCCTGTGCCCCATCCCCACCCTGTCCCCCAGCCCAGAGCACTGAGTGCCACGTCCAGTCCTTCCTTGGACATCCCCAGGGATGGGGACTCCAAACCTCCCTGGGCAGCCCCTTCCAGTGCCTGACCACCCCTTCCATGGAGAAATTCCTCTTGATGTCCAACCTGACCCTCCCCTGGCACAGCTTGAGGCCGTTCCCTCTCCTCCTGTCCCTTGTTCCCTGGGAGCAGAGCCCGACCCCCCCCCGGCTCCCCCCTCCTGTCAGGGGGTTGCAGAGCCAGAAGGTCCCCCCTGAGCTTCCTTTTCTCCAGGCTGAGCCCCCCCAGCTCCCTCAGCTGCTCCTGCTGCTCCAGCCCCTTCCCCAGCTCCATTCCCTTCCCTGGAATGGAATTCCCTCCAGCCCCTCTATGTCTTTCTTGTAATGAGGAGCCCAAAACTGGACACGAGATTTGAGGTGTGGCCTCAACAGTGCCAAGTACAGAGAGACAATCACATCCCTAGTCCTGCTGGCCACACTAGTTCTGATCCAAGCCAGATGCCCTTGGCTTTTTTGCCCACCTGGACACACCAGGGCTCATGTTCAGCCTCTGCTGAACAACAATCTCAGGTCCTTTTCCAGCTTTCCAATCACTCTGCCCCAGCCTGTCATTGATGTCAGATGGAGATGAATGCACAAGATGGGTTTTATTACTGCCCAGAACACCCAAACCATACAGGTCCACTGTAGAATTTAAATAAATTTGTCTCTAGGCTTCAAGACTCCAGTGTCTTCAGAGACTTTTGATCTTGCTGATCAAAAACAGCCAAAACAGCTTTTGCTCTTGTGCAAAACGAGATTAGGAAGGTTCAGACAAAGATGACATGAACTTGATCATTTCTGAGCAGGTACAAAGGAATTTGATTTTGAAATGCAAGCGTGCCAAACCTCCAGGTTTGACACCCATTCAGGATGGAAAGTAAAAAATTTGTCTTAATTATGTTTTTAGAGAGTCACAAAACCTCTGATCAATTTTTTTTTAGAGCAACATAAAATAACACTTCGTTGCCCTTCCATTTGGAGGCTTACTTTACTGGAAATTTTTAGAAATAAATAGTATTAAAATCACATTACAGGAAATAAAACAGTCGCCATAGCCTTGAGCTCCCCTCTGGGAAACCACGTGCTGAGGTTCAGTCGACAGCAGCCACTGGAGCCTGATGGCCAAGGCAGGAATTTCCCAGGAGCAGCTCAGGGCCACCATCAGGGGTTTCCAGCACTGGTTTGAGCAGCAGGACTAGAACCTGTCAATGAAGCAGGAAAAGCTGCTGAGAGGCAGAAAGCCCTTCCTGGGCACACTCTTTCCCCCCACATTTTTGTCATCCCTGTATCCTTGCAGCTCTGAGGCCGAGGTGCTTCCAGCCTTGTCAACAGGTGACATCAGAGAGCCCTTAGGATGAGGGGTTCGAGGGCAATTTCTTGGTGCTTGAAAAGGTTAAACTTTTATCAGCTGCTTTTGACCCCCTGGAATTTCACTCTCTCTGGGTTATGAAAACAGGTTATGAAAACACTTCAACTTCCTCCTGGACCGGTGATAAAAGAGCCACAGGAAGCAGCTCAGCACATTTTAGTGACCATAAGACTATGATAATAAAAGAAATGAGACAACATTGTTTGGAGAGAAGGTAAGTTGGACTCAGCTCCTAAAGAAAGGGGTGAAGTCACCAAAATTTAGCCTTTACATCAAGTGCAAATATCTGTTTTGAACAACAGTGTTTCCCTCAAATACAGGAATTTCCTGTATTTGTTTCCTGAATACAGGAACTTCATGGTCTGTGCCTTGCAGAAGGACAGAGCAGGGGATCCCCAGGGATTGTCATCATCTGTAAATGGGTTTCCAGAAGGAAAAAAAACCTAATCCACTCTGCAAGTCTCTGTTCTCCCACATCATTTTCAGCTGGGAGAGCCTGTGCCAGAGGTGTAAATGCAGGAGGGCACAGAGAGTGTCCACATCCCTCAGATGAAGACCCATCATCATCTCTGACTGGGTGTGTTAAACTGCTGGTGTGTGAGGCCACACAGTGTCAAAGCTACTCCAGATATACCTTAAAATGCTTTAAAACTTTAGGGAAAGCAAGGGGAGGGCAGGGACTTGGAGCAGCAGAGTAAGAATTTGGAGCAGGCTGACTAATTCCAGTTGATTTTTTCATGGACACCCTTCCTGTGAGGTAAGACTATGGTTATCCTGGCATTTATTAGAGAAGGACACATTCAAAAGAGCCAGAACAGACTGGATTTTCAGGGATTTTCCACCTCCTTGAACAGGAAGAGGCAGGTTAATAAAGGATGATGAAAGGGATGGATCACAGGGAGACCCAGCCAACAGCATCTCTGCCTCCAGTGCTGTCTGAGTGCAGCTGAATGCACAGTCATCTTTTTGGGGCCAGAGTCACCATAGAAACCTTAATTTTTTAGGCATGGAGGAGACATCATAGGGTATTTATTATTTTTGACAGGCCTTGGAACACTGGTACCTTTTGTGCCACTCTCAGGTTCATCTTTCCAGGGTGAGAGGTCGAGTCCATCGATCTCCTGGCAGTCAGTGAAGTCCTGGGGGTAACTGTTGATCCTGAACACATCCCTGGGTATCTTCTGGATACGAGTGTTGTCACAGAACACCTTTGACAGTGTGATTTTTCTCAGTGCTTGCAGCTGTTGTGGAGTGAAAACTCCTGGGTTCTCCCACCAGAACCTGCAAGGATATTTTCAGAAGCAGTTTGTAGTCTCTGGTTACCTGCCAAGATGGGACCTGACCAAGGTGAGTCTCTGCTCAGATCCACCCCGATCCACCAGGCAGAAGGCACAGCCTTTTGGGAAGAGGTGTCTCCAGCATGGCCAGATCTTCCATGCAGCATCTCCGGGCTGCTGGGACTCAGTGATTTATCCTCCCCTTTGTGCCCCGAGAGCAAATGTCACCTCAGGCAGAGATTAGTGCAGATCCCCCGTGGTCTGGGGCTGCTGCTCCTCAGCCTCACGGATCTGGAGGAATGGGCTGCAAAAACGAGTCCTTTGGCCACTGGACTAAAACCAAGACGTGAGCCTTGCTGGGAGCACTGGGTTGGATCAATGTCAGCGTTTTCCCCCCTGATAAATGCCCCAGGGAATGTTGGCTCTCACCTGTCCCCATCCCGCAGGTTCCTGAACTGGGTGCCAATGATGCAGGACAGGAGGGGTCCCACCCTGCCCTGGGGAACCACGGGCTCTGCGACCGCCCCGATCCACAGGTCGATGTTGTCCGGTGTCCCGTACACATCCAGGAACTTCTTGGCCAGTTTGGGATTGCCAAGCACCTCAGAGAATTCTTCCACAGTTTGGGGTTGGGAGAGCCCACAGAAGCCCCTCCAGGCATTGTAACCTGCAAGAGCAGGAGCAGCAGCTGAGCAGAACCCACCACCCCATGGCCCCAC